TGGAAAACAACACAAAGCGAAACCCATTCAGCACATGGTCTCTAACACTGGCAATATGTTAAGAGTCTAATATCGTTCTCCAAGACTAGCTTCCAGGAATTGACAACTAGGTTCTGGGGTAAATGATGGACTCTCCTTTATTAGAGTCTATTCTACATATCACCTGAAGCACAGGAAATATTTCCCTTCTCTTTATTTATTCCTAAAACTAAAATTGTAATTGAACAAAGCACGTGTATATGAACCTTAATTATAAATCTCTACACAGCACGAGGGATTGTGACATGTGGATATCTTTCTTCCTCTTATTTGCTTATCCATTTAAACTGAGAGCGAACATGGATTCTTCGTCCTCCTATTAAAACAGCAGATGATATTATGAATAATAAAAATCTGTACACACATCTGCAGTGGATTGCCTTCAATCATAAAAATAGAGGTTCTTTACTGGCATCGATGATTTCATGATGAAACTTGGGAAACAGCCATGGGACCTTTCTATTCCACAAAAGGTTATTTATAGTGGAAAACAAGTATTTTTTTTTTAGATTATTAAAATGTTATTCACCCTAAGAAGAAAATTGTTCCTCTTATAGTGAGCAATTTTTTGAGAACTGAAAATTGTTTATCACTGCAAAACAAACACCTTTCTGGAACCTTTATTTATTTTTAAGAGTGTTGCCTTCTTTCATGTAGGTCAGTAAGGTGAATTTAAGGAAAAACAAGTGTCTTCCGCAGTTGTCACAGGTTAAAGACAATTTTAAGGAGACTTCTCATAAACAGTCTCGCAATGCACTCTCACAACACAGAATACTTGCTGCCGTCAGTTCCTTTTTGTGTCATCATTCCCACATGGCACTGTGGTCAATCTATCCTGATCAACAACTAAATGGTGAAGTAACCCTTTTGTGAACGGACAGGAGATCTGTGGACTTGGGAACAAAGATCTTTACCAGTGCTTCTGGTAAAAATCCATAGCAGTCTCATATAACAAGCTAATCAAACGACCAAGTGCAGCTGTATCAGTGTTTGTTGATCTCTGTGCTTATCCATTACATTGTTTGTTGTTGCTGCAGCTCAATTGCGGTTACAGCTCTCCTCACTGTAGGATATCTGACATAGAAGCCATGACCTGCACAATTCAAGCAGCTACTTTAAGGTCCTTAAGTAATTGAAAGAAGCAACAAGAGACCGCATACACGTACACCTCTAATACACATGATAATGCAGCTTCATGCCAATTCCATCCCTCTCAAAATGGCTTTTTTGTTTCTATTTTTTTCTAGATCTTTTGGGAAAGCACAGTGGATCCGTAGTTAAGAAGAGACTTTCACTTGTCTCCTGCTACTCATCTTTGTGAGATTCCTTTAAAGTTTCATAAGACTGTACTTCAAATCTTAAAAGACATTTTCTAGATAATATAATCAAATAAAAGCCTACTTAAATGCTACTTTAGTGCACTTTCATGCCTATGGTTCTTAACCCTTTGATGTGCAAGCTATGGATACCCACACAACATGGGTCTAAAAAGACCCGTATTGATTTCCAATGTTATTTCATTCATGCTTTGGAATTTTTTTTTTTGTTTAACCTTTTGAAATCACTTTATTTGAGCATTTAATATTTCATGATCTATAAATTTCATGATTTATGAATATTCAAAATATCTTGTTTTCAATTATCACAAATTCATATTTTAATATTTGCTAGGTTTTGTTAATACATCATTTTACACACATCTATACAGAGGTACAAGGATTCTGCCCAACATTGAAAATATATACTTGGATATATAACTTTCTATTGCAACTTTTATTTTGTTGACCTTGCTATTGGATGAAATAGAATATGTCGACCGCAAGCTAGCTAATACATGTTTTTCTTTTGCACTAGTAATGCATTTCAAGGTCAAGGTAACCTTAGCCTAAACGTTCAAATATTAGCCTATCTAGATGTCTTTCACAAAATATCAAATATTTTCTGTGACAAAAAATGTATTAAATAAAACTTACATGCATGAAATATACAAAATCAGCCGTGTTGAATTGTGAAATGTGTGGCAGGTGAATATACTGTAGTTTTCTGCATTTATACTATTTATAAATATCAAAGGTTATATGGGTCATTTTTGACCCATGTGTGTAAAATTAGTATTAGTTTATAAAGTAAGAAAGGGAAAATAAATATAATGATTTGTGGAAATCAAAAACAAGATATTTGATGAATACCTGGATTAAAAAATAATAAAATACATTTCTTTCAAATATTCAGCAAGAAACATGAATACTTTTTAGACCCATGTTGCACATTAGAAGGATAGTGACACAAAAATTATTTTATTCTAAAAGAAAGGAAAAATATAAATAAGGATTTGTAATGATCTAATACCTGCTGAAAGATGAAATTGATTTATTGCAAAGATATAGAAAATGAAAACTTAGTTAGGTCTATTTAGACCCATAATGTGCATCAAAGGTTTTACACTGTGCTTTGTAATAATGTCAGATTGAAACGAACATTTACATTTTTTTGTTTTTGTTTTAATAATTTTTTGTTTTTCTTTAAAAATATACTTTTTAATGTGTTGACTAACATAATAAAACCTGTACCCCCGGTTTCACAGATAAGGCTTAAGGCTTATAAGGCACAGTTAAGGCTTATTTTAGTCTCTAAACTGACAGCAACTTGCACTGGGATATCATAAAATATGTCAGTGCCATTGTTTTGTGATGCACATTAGTAATGTTTTATCTAAGGCATACTTATAAAAGCTACTTGAATGCCCTAGTTGAACTAAAGCCAAATCCATACAGCCTGTGTGTTATTCAACATTACATTTAAAGTTACTATACTGGTATGTTATGTGTATTAGGCTAAATTGCAACTTTATATTTACAAATGTGTAAATACATGCAAGTTTCAATAGAAATTACATGTATTTTTAAGTATATTTTAGTTTACCTTGAATGTATATTTAAATATATTTTAGTTTACGGCAGAACACTTTAACCATATTTTAAAGAAATTATTAATAAGTTATTTTGAAATTAAATATAAATATGTACTTATGTCCTAAGAGGGTCAACAAAAATCAATCTTAAGTTGATTAAATTGCATTTAACATAAATTCAAACTATAATGCATTTCATTTGCAATTGAATGTCTGAAAACATTACATTCAGGCTATATTAATTCAATAGTACTCTTTTTAAAAGCATACTAAAATGTGCTCCTTTTACACAAGAGACAACTTGTTTACAATGTTTCAAAACTGCCCTTAAAAATCGCCAAGATACCAACGTGTACAATCAAAAGTCAGATATTATCAATTCTAAAAAAACAATAACATTCTCATCAAATTCATCAAAAACCATCTAAACTATCTAAACTATTCCATCTACATTTTTACGCTCTTTATTGACAACTTTAGGTTAACTTTAGGTTAAGGAACAATACTTTGCTGCTCTCTCAGGGATTAAATCTACATGTAGAGATTAACATATATTTTAAAATGATTTTCCTTTATTACTTGCTGACCAGATTATCTCAACTGAAGGTATAGAAGAAAAAAATGTTTCCATTTCAGAATTGCTTTTGGGTATAACAGCTGATATCTTGATTAATACACTTTCTGATGTAAGAGTTATTACACTTCATATCCAAAATAGCACCTCCAATTTCAAGTTTAGGAGTATGCCTGAGTTGTAGCTGAAGCAATTTAAGGAGATGTTTCTAACAATATACACTTACAAAAAATGAATCATGAGTCTTGTAATTTTCATTTAAAAAATTAAGATAATGAAAAATGTTGTGTATGTTTTATCAAGAAAATTGTGGTTCAGTGTTTTATTGAAAACTTTGAAAACATTACACAGATACATTTTTGATTGAGTTATATTTTGCATGATTTATTCAGGTAGATTGCATGAAAGAAATCAAGCATTAATTACTCAAAAATATTATGCGTAATATAGTTACCATAATATTTTGAGGTAAATAGCAGTAACATTTTTTTACAGTGCACAGGCATTATCTGTGTAATGCATTTCTTAATAAGTTTTTGAGAAGACATCTCACTATAACGTTGTTTTTGTATCTTGAATCTAGTGACCAGTCACTAGAAAATTTTGATTTGGAGAGGTTATTTTTATTTTATTAAATTTTTTTTTTGCAGTGTATCTGTTTGTCTTGGGCTATATTTTTGATGTTAAATGTCATTGTAAGTTTTATGAATGTTAAATAAAAAATTAAATAAAAACTTTAGGTTAAGGCAAATGAAGCTGCATAATCATACTGTATAATACGTATATAGATAGCCTACTTAATAAAACAGGTAGCCAATTCAAAAGTTATTTTATTTTACAAACGTCTAATGAGTTGTTTTGGCAGCTTTGTGAATGAGAGACATCTCCTGAAGATACAATTCAACAAACTATAACACAAACAAGCGCGCGTTTGTTCAGAGCGCATCCGCCCTGCACGCGCTCGAAGAGTCGCTGGTTCATTTGATCGCTTTGGTAATAACTATATCACATTGTATCGTTTATATAATTGACCAAGCACAAGTAAACATTGCGTCAAACTTTGCGTCATTCAGCTTTATACTAACGAAAACTTGAAGTGAACTTCTCCCAGCAAGGCGCGTGGAGGTGCATGGTACAACCGTCAGTGTGTTTCGGCATCAGCTGTCATTCTGACTCACATTACATGGTTCGGTAAACACTGAACCTATAAACCTCTCAATACACAATGCAGATGTGTATTGTGTGATGATGAATGTAGGGCGTTATGCATCTACCTGTCCTGCCGTACAAACATTATGAGCGCATCGCATGCTTCATATTTATTACCAGTTTCTCAAACCCGATTTAAATTATTAGAGCTAGTATCTACGAACCTTATGACAACCCTCAACAGATTAAACAACTCAATGTTCAATCTTGTGAGTTTTTGAGACAACTACAGCGGAGAACAGGGAAAGGGGGGGGGGGGGTACTCACACTGCTATTTTCACCCGTCCAGTGGACCATTGCCTGGTTGTGGGTGGCATCCCCTTTAAGGACGAAAGAGCTGCTGAGTAGAGAGACTTTCTCCGGAGTCGATGCCCTCCGGACTCGGGGAACTCCCATGGCCGGTCCGCCCGGGTCCCCGCTGTAATCTCCGCGGCTGTGCGCCGAGATAAGCGTTTCATCTCTGCCAATGACATGCCCACCGCGGCTGTCAAGCTCTCGGTCCCGCTCGTTTATCTGCTGTATAACGCCACTGTGACATGAAATCGGTCCGAATCCGAACAGTGACATCCACGCGCAGGCGAAAAACACAGCTGGGTACAGGTGCGCCAAAACTGCCATGATGAGCGTCTTCATTTAACACTGTCAAAGCGAGTGTGCGATGCAAGCGAAAGATGGAAAGCTCTAATGTAAGAGAGGGGGAGAGAGGGGGAGGGAGAGAGAGAGTGAGAGTGAGAGAGAAAGGCAGAGAGATGGGAAGAGGGTGGGGGAAAACAGAGCTACAAACCGAGCACGCTCATGTGCTGTAACCTACACTAGTCAGCCGAGACCAGTGAAAACATCAGCCGTATTTGCCTGCCACCTAGTGGAGCTACGAGTCAAGTGTTTGTTTGCTTGTCATTAGAAAAGTTTATGTTTGTATTACATCGCATATCAAATAATGCAACAAAAAAAATCTATTTATAAGATCCAGTTAATTCATTTAATCCTCCATAACATGTGTGACTAAAATTTGAAGGGTCTAAATGTGTTGATGCATTTTATTCATTCATTCATAAATGTATCTTTTGTGTCAACATTTTTTGTTTTGTTTACATAGTGTAAACAGTCACATGAACATAGCTGGATGCATGTTAACTTGGCTATTTCAAATACAGTTACAACATATATAATATTTAAATGGCCTATTGTTGAAGTATTATTAAAGTTGCTCTGTTTTTAAATAAACCACAATCACAATGCATGTGAAAATGTAAAGGGTCACGTCTGTGAGCGCATGAAAACACTTTGGATTAACGAAATAGATTTTAAAGATCTGTTTGTTATATTAATAACAGTTTAATATATTAACTGTTTTTTTGGGGAGGTGGGGTTTGAATTATCAATGCTCTCTTCCATCTGTAGTACCGGCCTGTAGTAGGCTACCGGTTAAACGATTGTTAGCAGGAACAAAATATAAGGCCGGGTTTCACAGACATGGCTTAGATTAAGCCAAAATTAGGCCTTAGCTCAATTATAACATTTAAGTGGCTTTTATATAAACATGCCTTAAAAAATATTACTGATGTCCACTAATATATTTGTATATGATATGTCAGTGCAAGGATTGCTTACAGTTAAAACAGCTCAAACATGCATTTTAGTCTGGGACTAGCTTAAGCCTCGTCTGTGAAACTGTTTTGAATCACTTTAGCTGGGCTCCTGCATGGGGAAAATTTAATCTGACAATAAACTGGTTTCATTCAGTGTTTTTGAATAGACATTATGCACTTTTAAAATATTTTATCATACCTCCGTGTACTTGTGTGCATATATATATATATATATACAAATATTTTTTCTATTTATTTTTAAAATTTGTATGTTTCTCCTTTTAACTAAACATTCAACATGGACCAATTATTCAGTGTAATTCAGGTAACTCAGTTGAAATCAATCTAAAAAATCTAGAATTTCAGAAGATGAGGCATTCAATTATCTGCACTGCTAAGTATTCTAGGAAGCTGGTGCAGCCACTGAATCACTGTCCAAGTTTTCTAATAAATACATTTTTTTTCAATACTTTTTTTTTTCAGATTTTCATCTTCAAACAAGCGACACTAAAGAAGAACATTGCAATTGATTTAACACTGTTAGACTTGTATTAAAAATATTATGTAAAACTATTCTAAAACATCCACATTTCCTATACCTAATTATTAAATGTAGGGTCACTGGGCAGCGCTGAAGCTCAGACTGACGGCTGTGAAACACACCTACATACCATTCATATATTTTGGGGTCAGTAGCCTGCTCTTTTTTTAGATAGTTGTAAAAGAAGTTTCTTATGCCTACACAGGCTGCATTCATTTGAGAAAAAAAAAAACCAGTGAGATTGAAATATTCTTTCAAATTAAAATAACTGTTCTCTATTTTAATATTACATTAATGTGATTTACTCCTGGGATGGCAAAGCTCAATTTTTAGCATTATTACTCTCCAATATTCAGTCACATGATTTTTTTTCTGATTATCCTGTAACTTTTATTATTATTATTATTATTATTATTATCAATGTTGAAAACAATTGTGCTGCAGCTTAACATTTTTGTGGACAATGTGATACATTTTTTTCAAGACTCTTTATAAATAGAATCTTCACAAGAACAACATTTATTGGAAATAGAAATCTTCTGTGACATACGTCTTTACTGTCACTTTTGATCAATTAAATGCATCCTTGCTGAATAAAAGAAGGATTTCCCTTTTTTTATGTTTCCTGAACCAAAAATTTTGAATGGTGTAGTATGCTACACATGACTGCACATAGCAGGATGGATTTTATCACCTCTAGGGACCCAGACCAGGTTCAATCCTTATGCAAGCAGGAACTGTTTCTGAGCCTAAATCAAGATAGAAGTTATGATTTCCTCACCTCAATTTCTCAGATGATTTATTGCCCAAGAGACAGACAAGGCTGACTGAGTCAGAGGATTACTGGACTAAAGAAGAGTAGAAGAGTAGGCTAAACATGGTCAGCTGTCTGGAAAAAAAAAACACATACAATTTCCTACTTTGATTCTGATTATATCCTAACAAACTGATAACAGTATCAAAGTTCAAATTGTGATAATTATAGATAAATGGGTTTTTTTGTTTTTGTTTTTTTTAATATCCATAATATCCATCACTCGTGAAGTGAACTGACTAATATCTGACTAATAGCCGATAATATCCATCACTCGTGAAGTGAACTGACTAACCTAACGTAACTCAAGGCAAGAATCTTGCCAACTTGTCTTCCACTGCCGGTTAAATGCACTTAAGCAACATATTTTAAATTCCTTCGTGTGTGTTGTCTGAATTGGTGAACCTGTGGTGATGTAGCTCGGCGTAGTTGAGTAATAAAAGTGTGCGGTAACCGTCCTTCAGTTGGCCAAGAAAAGACGCCGTCCTTTACGTGCAAAATGTTTCGACCTTTCTCTCAACCAAACAAACTAACTACAGAATTGCGTCAGTTTTGACTAGAGCGATGATTGGTCGTGTAAGACAACCGTGTAAGAACAGAAGCTGCGATTGGTTGAATGAGACTCGCTCTTTCTGCGTGTCTCTCAGCGTGGACATTAGCAGTGAAGATGAAGATGGCGAACTGGTGTGTGCGAGTGGTCCGACAGAGCTCTTTTATCATAGCGTCTCCTTCACTTGTAAGGTAGGCTTTCAAAGCAGTGTTATTTTGAGCAGTTGGTGTCCAAGCTTGGTTAAATATTTGTTTTTATGAAAATTAATAATCGTTCTGTTGCGTAAGCTGTTTAGAAATGAATGATTCTTTCTGATGTACTAAGGTCGGACTCTCACTTATGGCTTTTTAGATGACAGTAGCCTATCGTTAGGCAGCTTTGTTGTCCTGTCGGATACATTATAACTGTGCAGTGCAGACTAGTTATGTGATCATTGATGCTTCTTAGTGAAATGTGCTTACTGTTCTTTACCATGTCATGATATCTTTACATACACTACAGAAAATGTTTCATTGAGTTCAGGATTTTTGCCTTTAAAAATAGTGTTCGTACGTTGCCATGGAAATGAGACTCATTTTCAGACACGTGCTAGTTCTGTAGACTTAGTGAAGTTAAGGCTAATCGTACTGAAGCTGTTTCACCTCTTGATTGGTTTAGACTATCTAACTAGTTGCAGACTGGACTCTTAACTATTTTGTTGTCAAGTTTTCTAGAATCTCATATCGTTGAAAGGTTATGTCCTACAAAAAATGAATCAGTTTAAGATGATAAACCTATTTATAAGTAAAACATCCATCACCCATTCAATGATTAACTATAAAGAAGCAGTTATCTTAAATCAGCTAGTTTATAGATCTTGTCTTTTTTTAAGGCTGCTTTTCCCTTTTCCCTGTTCTCCGCTCCATACAGTGATCATTCATGACAGACTTGTCTCCGGTGACATGAACATGACTTCTCCAATCATTTAGTCCGCTTAAACTCTGATCCTGCGAGCTCATGTTCATCTGCATCCATTTTTGAGTGCAACACCCACATCTCACATCCAATCATCAACAGATATATAGAAGCAGGTCTCACTCCAACACGACATTGTTTTTTCTTTTACAGTCGGGTGTACATCAAAATATGGAAGAAAATATCTGTCACTGCTTTCACTTCATTTTGACTTTCCCCAAAATCCCATTGATTTTCAATAGCCATTGATATCAGTGCCAATTCTAAAGAATGACATTCTGCCGGTAAACCTAATTTTAAAGACTTATGACTAATTGTTTTTGGGTGAACTCTTCTATTAAGAATAAGGCATAATATCTCTTATCCAAGATAGGTTGCGTAATCTCAATGTATATTTTGCCTATAGTGCAAAGGTTGTATTGGTGAATATTCCCATCTTTTAACATTTCAGGGCGACCCCACGCCTCCTTTGCACAGCAGCCCAACAGAAAAGCTCAGGAACTGGAACCGAAGAAGAGAATGGGGCTCAGAAACCAGAGCCCAGTGCAGCTGAGAAAGCCTTCACAGAAGAAAAGATGCAACTGGAAGAACAGCTGAAAGATGTTACGGTAATGCTTTATTTTCAGGATGCAATCTTATCTAATAATTGAATATAGAAAAAGTGGATGTTTAAAGGATTAGTTTTAGTTAATGAATTCTCACTCAAAAATAAGAATTCATTCATTTCAAACCTGTAAGACTAGAATACTTTTTGTGTGCAAAAAAACAACAACAAAAATAACGACTATTCAACAATTTCTTCTCTTCTGTGTCAGTCTCTGATGCTGTTCACATGTATAAACAGTGCAGCCTTTCTGGGTTCTACATCCGAACACTGGATCAGTATTGGCTTGCTCCTGCAGCAGCATCACACGGATGTGTCGTAGTGCTCATGTGACCAGTGTCGGCCAATAACGAGCCGGCGTTCTGCCATGGAACCCGGAAGCGCTGCGTTGTGATTACTACACGTAGGAGACTGACACAGAAGAAGAAATTGTTGAATATGCTCTTTGTTTTTTGCGCACAAAAGTATTCTCGTCACTTCATAACATTAAGATTGAACCACCGTAATCGCATGGTGATTCACATTCACGATGTTTTTACAACCTTGAAAGTTGAAATGACGTTGCTGCCCATGGCTGGTTCAGAAACCTCTTGGATTTCATCACAAATATCTTAATTTGTGTTCTGAAGTTGATCAATGGTCTTAGGGTTTGGAATGACATGAAGGTGAGTAATTTAATGACAGAAATGTAATTTTTTGGTGAACTAACCCTTTTATAACAAGGGGTTTAACAGTATAAAGAAGTCACAATTCGGAATGTACCACGGTTTTGGGGTCGCAGTTTGGGACAAGTTTCAACGAATATCCAATGCTAGGTTTCTTTTCATTTATTTTGAACAGACAGTTGCTCAAATTACAGTTTGTTCCACCAACCGGCATTTAGTCCCCTAGTTGGTACAGTACAGCCTCCTTTAGTATATTAAGCACTAAGCAGTAAACAGAATGCACTCATCCGATGACAGAGGTGGATGCACAAAGTTCAATATTACGCTTTTCCAAGAAATAATGGAAAGATGAACAAGAAGGAGAAAAAGCGCCTTCTACATCTGAGGAGTCTACTTCACCTTTCCACAAGGAAATCAGCACCTGAGGCTTCCCATTTCCAGGACACAAATATTTCATCACTTGACTGAAGTAGTGAGACTACTACTTCATAACAGTGGAAACAGTTATATACAGATTTGGAGGGTGGATCGCCTGTGACTGACTGTATTCGTCATATGTTACCGTCAATATTGGCTTAATATTTCTCTTGTGGACCACACATTAATGATAGTGGAAAAAATAATAAAAATATTTCCTTTTGAAATTTTGTTTTGTTATAAAGTCAGTGTTTGAAGCTGCTTTTGATTTTCATCGATGAATGATTATTATAGTGCTGTGTCCGGACCTAAAGACCGTTATTAGGTTTATGAAATTTTAGTAATAATAATATTGTTATTATTAATAATAATTTGAAAATGTATTGTTTCTAGCATCAAATGTTTTGTTAATGCCTTGTGCTATGGAAACAAAACAAAATGCTGACCGACAGCTCCCATTTTTGCCAAGGTACAAATGACTGTATAAGAATGATGCTTCTTTTTTTATAACCAGCACTCTTGACAATCTTGACAATTTGTGAATAAATAACCTTGCAATTCCATTTTGATGTGGGATGTAGGTTTGTAGTCTGTTTAAAAAAAAATTGAGTCCTCAATCCTCATGCACATTGTGGCTGTGTCACAAGTGTGGTGATGTCGTTATGAAATTTGGATAGGCAAAAATGTATTGTATGTCCTAATATTAATTTGATAATAATTAATATGTAATAATAAAAATGTACCGACAGGAAATGTTTTTCTTGCGGTTCACAAAATCATGTAATTTCCTCCTGCACAGCCTGACCTTCAATTGCCCTTGTAGTTCAAGGATACCCCAAGGACTATCCACTTGTTCTTAGTTTATAAAACCAGTTTTGAAGGAACTGGAGCTGGTCATGTTTGAGATTAGTGAAATTTAAATGATTTTCTTGCCTGTAAATCAGCTGTAGAGTGTCCCAGGCTTAAGCCGGGTGCACACTGTGCGATTTTGGCCACGATTTGGCCACCTGAGACACTATTTTCAAATCTTATAAGATTCTTCTGATCCTAAAATTTCAACATCTGCAACGTTAGTTTGACATGTTCACCGACAGCCGATTAATGACGTTGTGATCAAATTTTTTCCTCAGACGAAATTCTGACGGTGTCAGAAGATTTGACTCTGCTACGACGACCTTCAAATTGTCTTCGTTTTTCAAGAAAAGCCAATGACCAAAATGAACGTTACTTTGAATTTGATTTCTTTGTGGCCACCATTTCAATCCTGCATGTAATGCAGCTCACTGTCACCGAACGTGTCATTGATTGATGTAAAACTCGAGACAAATTTTCTTGCATGCATCATTTTTAACGCCTCTTGACTGGCTTACAGTCTGACATTAATGACAACTGAGATCTTACAGTGTGACATGGCTTACAGCGAGGATTATGTTCGTACAGTCTGACAAGGAACAATCGTAAAAGACTATAATAAATCGCACAGTGTGCACCGGCTTAACTCAGAATGTGTCTTTGAGTGACTTTAAAGCATTCAGATTAATCAGTACCATGAATCCAGCAAGTTGTAAATAGTATTTTCTGTGCAAGATAAATCTTCTGAGAGTCAAGTGTTTTTGAGAGGAGCAGTTTAAATATTGTGTGTAATTATTGTCTGATCGTTTTAAATCGTCTTTTGCTGCAGGATAAATACAAGCGGGCACTAGCAGACACTGAGAACCTTAGGCAAAGAAGTCAAAAGATGATTGATGATGCAAAGCTATATGGTAAGCTATTATACTAGTTAATAAGCTGTTTTATTAACCGACATTTCCGCATCTAGTTAAGTTGGTTGTTTTCACTCTTGTTTGCTTTTTTCTCAGGAATTCAGGGCTTCTGTAAGGACCTCTTGGAGGTGGCTGACATCTTAGAGAAGGCAACAGAAAGTGTACCGAAAACAGAAGTGTCTGCTGCAAATCCTCACTTGAAAAATCTTTACGATGGCCTTGTAATGACTGAGGTGCAGATCCAAAAGGTCTTCAAAAAACACGGCCTTGTTAAGCTTAATCCTGATAGTCAGAAATTTGATCCTTATGAACACGAGGCTGTCTTTCATGCACCTGTGGAGGGCAAGGAGCCGGGTACCGTAGCCGTAGTTACTAAAGTAGGCTATAAGCTGCATGGGCGCACCCTCCGGCCAGCTCTGGTGGGTGTAGTCAAGGCCCCCTAACTACTCGTACACTCTATGGTGGGTCATTGCCTGGTCTTAGGTTCCACAGCTTTTTTTGTTAAAGGTGCCTCTGAGAGGCGAAGTCCAATATGTTGACAACTGAAGGACAATGCCAGACTAATCTTTATGTATTAATAATGATCAACATAAATAATATAAGAGTATATTATAAAAGTTGAGTGCGTATGCAGTAGAAGATTCACTGAATATTGGATTGGATGCAACGTTATTCATTTGAGAATCACCACCACCATTCCATCTTTTAAAGAAACACTGCAGCACATTATACTGTTGGACATCTTTTCTCAATATACCTATTTGCTCTTATATTAATTACTTTATTGATTTTTTTTTTTTTTTTTTTTTTACCAATTTGGCCCCATCATGATGATGATGTGTTGACAGCAGTTGTTAAATTCCACTTGATTTGTTTCTGTTTTTTGTTCAAAAATAAAATATATAATTTTATAATAATTTAATTAACAGCAGTTGTACTTCAGATTTAAAGGTTTACATTGGATTCAACTTTTCCATTCGCGTGAACAAGCAGACAATTGTCAAATAAATCGTATACCATTTTCAAAAGTAGATCTCTCATTATTACATCTTCCATTATGTTGAAATTTTCAGGACAAGAGTTTAACTAAGGATACAGTGGTAAATTTAATACTTAATTTTGGTTACTGTTACATAATGTTATTTTAATGAAAGTATTTAGTGATATATGTGGGCATATTCTTTTAAATGGCGTTCATACTAATAAAATCCATTAATATTTTAGAATGACTAATTGTTGTTTTCTTACAGATCTTATGTAGATTACGCCGTCTGATATGACATCATATCTTGTCTTGACAACTTGAAATGTAAGCAAGGGTATTTTTTTCCATTTAATAACAGACAATAGGTTATATTTCAACACTTTAATACAAAGTAGGAAAGAACATGACGTATGCAATAAAATACTTTGCACATACTCAATATTTTGACAAATATGATCCTTCAAAAATGGACTATTTGACCAGAAAAAATGTCACAACCAAGCAGAAAAGTCTCCTCATTATGTTTAAATGTCACATTGTCTTATAAAAATTCAGAAAACATATTTAAGATAGTGTCTTTCAGTGAAGATGCCATTTTCAGTATTATCCTCCCTCACATTTTCAATTACTTTAGAAAAATATTTATACTCTTTGAAATAGCACATCAAATGAATATTACAGGGGAAATATTAAGCATTAAATGAACCGGTCACTTATTTTCTCAACAATTCAATGTTGGTAAGCATGACTAGACTTGAAGAATGGCTTAGGAACCAAAAGAAAGATCCTAGTATTTCCTATAACTATGAAGCACAACCTGAAGATTAACCCTTTGTAACATTTGAGCATCCCAATAGAAACAAAACATAAAGAGGAGGATAATGAATTATGCCCCATAATTTCCTTATTCTTAGTCACAGTGTCATTTTACATACATTCATAAATTATATTTACCAAATGGTTAGATAGCCAATTTACATATCTCACATATACTATTGGTGAGTTTCTCTCTGCTTTTAGTGGCTTTACTCAGAAAACACAAATATTGTGTATTGTGTGGGGCAGTTATGTCTAGCATAGAAATGTGGAAAAACAGGAACAAACAGACACCTAAATGTACAGTTGTGATATGGTACATTTTAAGATTAAAATATAACATTAAAGTGAAAGGGATAAAAACCATCAACCTGGGCACATTGCTTCACAAGGCACACTACATGAGCATACTCAAACATGACTGACTTTATATGTACCAATGTCTGGGGCAAAAAATGACAAACAAACAAATGTAGATGACCACCTTGGCCTTTGCGATGGATTTACACTAACCACAGTTATTTCCAATATCGTATACATAAAAAAAACAATAGCTAAAAGTCATACTTGTATCTATTCTAGTTGACTCTTAATATATTAATCATTTCAAAACTATGTAAAAATGTTAAACCTTTGCTTTTGCCATTTGTGAACAGTGCTTGTCTTAGTTTTCTACAACTTTGGGGTAGACACAAGCAGGCAATAATAACACTAAAATCATGGAAAAATAGGTTTGTCTCAGTTGTAATCTAAGATTTGGTATTGCATGAAGATTTTGAAATTAAAGAAAAAAAAACTAGTAGTAGTTGAAACACTAACACAGTCTCAGCTTAGAAATTTTGTTGTACACTTTGAGATGAGAACCCTTGATGCTGTATTTAGCTTTATCCATCAAACAAATAGGAATAATATCCTCTTGAAACAGGAGCATTATGTTGCTTTACTCATCAAGCTAATACTTTATATAACCTGGTTATGTGCCTTTTAACCCAAGCTTCTGAAACATGCTCAATAAACAGCAATAGAAACAACCTCACAAAGGTCAACAACTCCAAAAAAAAAAAATCATAATCAAACATGAACATTGGCTGTTTTCAGATAGTATCGAGCATGATTCATGTGTCTCACATTCCCACCATTGACAACAGAAACAGGCAAATTCAGGTTAGCATAAGACTTTTGGCAAGCAGAACAAGGATTCCTTCTTATGACAAAGGAAGAAACTCAGAACCAAATACCTGCTTTGTACAACATTAAGCATTCTGTTGAAACTCTATTGGCAGGGAGCATTCAAGTGCCACTCAAAATCACATTCAAAACGGAGGGCATTTTAACAAGGGGTAATGGGTTTTGTGTTCTATTCTGATGCGTTACACAGGACAACATACTGGAATGTTCCCTATGATGGATACGGATTATGTACCTTCTTTAACAGGAATTTCCCTATGTTTATGATCCTATGAGGAGATCTGAGCTCAAAGACAGACATGTTAGACTGACTGAAGGTCCACATCCAGTAGTGTGGCACCTACAGTCATTTTGTTCTCATAGGCTTTTCTGAGATCCATTATAAAACAGTAGAAAAATATATTTACAGTCATTATTCATACAGCCGAATCTTTGGACAGTGTCGTTAAGAGGTTTCTCGGGATATCCAGCCACTCTCCGACAAAAAATTCAGAATCCGTTTTTTCAGCACCTTGTCCAGGTAGCTGGGTAGGCGGCTTTTCGAGGGAATGCCCTGCCGTTTCTGTAAGTGATCTTTGATGATGATAGTCTTGACAGTCAGATAGCGCGTAGGACTAAGGTTCATAGAGTTGCACAGTACCTTCTCCCGATCCGACAGCATCTCAAAGCCAGACAGGTTCTCGATAGCTGAGAACTCACTGTCCTTCCCCTCCTCTTTAATGGCACTAACTCCTCCACCACCGCCAAGCCCACCGCCTGCTCCAACCCCCCCTCCAAGCCCGGCCACTCCTCCTCCACCACTGCTGCCTCTCTTTGAGCCTGCAACACTTTTGTTCTCTTTCCGTTTTTCCCGTTTGTGGCGTGCTGCCTCATACTCGGCCGACTCGTCGAGTCTCGTGATGCCATTTCGCCGATAACGCTGAAGCTCCCGAACTTTCGCCCGTAGCATGCGCTCTTTGTGCATGTTATCGAAGAATTCTTCAAACTCACGCTGCGGCATGAACTGGCAAAGACCACGTAGTTTGGTCCGTTGCTCCTTTTCTTCCTTGGTGATTTTGCGTTTTGGGGTCGCTCCCGCAGAGGAGCCAAGCGGCCCTGTTGGAATGATGGTGGTAACGCCCCCCAATCCAAGAGCACCACCTGCACCCACAACCCCTCCTGTTCCACCCGGTCGTTCTCGCTCTTTATCTTTTTTGTCCCGTCCCAGAAAGGCTGGCACTAAATTGTAGTCACGAGCGATGTTTTTGCGGCGCTGGCGCTCACGCAGCTTCCGCACATACATATCCACATGGGCTCGCTTCATCTCAATCTCAATATCTTCATCGTCGTAGTTTACAGACAACCCACTGATGAGTTTCTCTGCCTCCTGGTCATATTCAATCTCGTAGTCGTCTCGAAGCGGCATGTATCCAAGCTGCTGCTGCTCCACTACAGATATGTCTAGTGGGGGCAATGGGGTAGTCAAACTAGGAGACAGCGGACCTCCACTCGGGCAAGTGTGGTCTGTCACACGGTTGGGGATGCTGTCAGGGATGCAGGCTTTGCCCAGATTACCATGGATATACATGCTGACATAATGGTCCATGACCTCCTGAGGGGTGCGTGATGCACCTACATGGGCTGCCATATCCTCCTAACACACAGAAATAATCAAAGTTAAAGGGTTAGTTCATCTAAAAAGGAAAATTCATCATCAATTACTCACCCTCATGTTGTTTCAAATCGACAAGACATTTGTTCATCTTCAAAACAAACATTTGTGAAGATGACAGTGTATCTTTAGAAGACTTCAGAATCATGTGTAATACGTTTAGAAAAAAATGTTATACATTTATGATGACATGGACTTTCAATTCAATGAAGGAGCAAAAATCTCTCAGGTTTCATTTAAAATATCTTTATCTGTGTTTTGAAGATGAACAAAAGTTTTATGCACTTGGAACAACATAAGAGCGAGTAAATGATTACAAAATTATATTTTTTCGGAGAACTATCCCTTTGACATACAGCCAGGTAATAATAATGTGACAGTTACAAACATAAATATTACTATTAAGTTACTACAAATATTACCGAATCAACAAAAAGCTTTCGGTACAAGTGCACACAGTACAGTTTGTTCTCTCAATGTATATATATTATAATAATATTATATAAGATCTTATCAATGACAAAAATTGTAAAACCACAGAACTAGAGAATCTGCTAGGTTCTTTAAAAAATACTTTCTCTAAGTTTCTTCATTGAGAAACATGCATCATTTGTTTGTATTGCAATGCATCAGGCTACTTGTATGGAGGTGCACATTTGGCAATAAAATGGAGGTTTATTAAAGCCGCATAAATATGGACTCAATTGAGCATCGTACCCAGTTACCAAATCCATATTGCTCGATGGCATCGAGCAGCGACTGTTCTTCCCTGCTAGTCCATCCTCCCTCTGCTTCGGGACCCCACAGCGAAAAGCGCCCGCCGTCAACTTGCTGATAGCCATGCCATCGTCTGTGGTTGCCGATTTCGGCACCCGCGGAGAAACACTCCGGACAAAGTTCAATATCTTGACATTCGGCACAGCGAATCCGCAAATTCGTAACATCTGCCAGGCAGTTCACACAGTACTTCTTGCCTACGTCGGCCATATTGCTTACTACCGCTTGTTGTTGGGAGCAGCAGTGGCGCGGGGGAGGACATGCGCAGTGGAGTATCACTGGTCACGCCGCTGCGTCTCATTAATATTAACAATAACACAGCAATGGCTTGTGATTGGCTTTAGCTCTGGTGTCCATGGCAACACAGACACAAAATAGTTGAGGCAAGCGCTGTTCCTGTTTCGTAAGATAAACGCTGGTTATTTTAGATACATTACAGGTAAATATTTTTAGGTGAATAAAAAAATATTAATTTTAAAAATCGTGTGTAAAATTCAACTAAATAAAATGGAAGAGGGTTCATTAAATCACGAAGAAAGCCCTGTTTTAGAAAATAACATGCCGGTGGAAAACACTGACACGTTTGAGGATCTAACAGAGGCAACAAGTGCACACGAAATGGAAGAAACTGAACTTCCTAATATTTCAGAAGTTGTTGAGGATGATGTGGTCGAGCAGGGTTCACGCCTCTCATTGGGCGTCCTCACAGAAGACAGTGCTGAGACAAGTGGACCACAGCAGGAAGAAACCGAGTCTAGGCAACATATGATAACAGAAAAAAAGGATGAAATAGAACTTATAAATGAGAACTCGGAGGAGACTGGTGATCCTGAAATAGAACATTTCATTGATGATCTTCTATCGCGTGAGGGCACTGAGGAGGAGGAGGAGGAGGAGAGACTTCTAACTCCTGACCAAAAAAATGAGAGGACCAGTCCGTCCAATGAATCACTCGTTCCTGCAGAAAAGGAAGAATCTGCCCTACGGATCAACAATAAGGAATATATGGATCAGCTACATGAACTACAGGCTGAGAATGAAGAGCTTAGACAGCAAAATGGTCAGCTGCAGAAGAAAATAGCGGAATACCTCAGCAAGAAGACAAGTGCCAAACTGGAAGGAGAAATCTCAGGACAGGAGCAGTACCAAAGGTACATGGAGCTCATGGAGGACAAGAGAGGGCAGCACCACCGTGACTCAGAGCTCCACCAACAGCAGACTAAGGAGCTCCGCCAGCAGAGCTTAGAGAAACTGAACATGGTGAACCAGGAGTTGAGATCATTTGATAAACTGAAATATGAAGCTGCCATGACAGCCCTGACTGGTAAGGTGGGCAAACAGGCAGCACTGGCAAAGGTGGAGCAGCTGCAGGCTGATGGACTGAAGCAGGAAGACAAGCTGGCATGCGTGCGTCTCAACACTATCAAGCTCAAGAACAAAATATGTCAGATTGAGATGGCACTTAGATCCAAACGGGAGCTGGCTGATGGCTTGCTGCTGATGGACTTTGAGCAGCTCAAAGCAGAGAACAAGACATTTAAAGAAGAGATGCAGGAGCGCAACGAGGAGCTACGTATTCTAAAAACGAAGGTTTCCTGCGCTGTGCTGGTAAATCACTTTGTTTAATTCCTGAAAACATCACCTAAACATCCTTCCTTCCTTCCTTCTTTCCTTCTTTCCTTCTTTCTTTCTTTCTTTCTTTCTTTCTTTCTTTCTTTCTTTCTTTCTTTCTTTCTATCTTTCTTTCTTTCTTTCTTTCTTTCTTTCAAATCATATTGAGGAGTGAAATTAGTTTTGTGGTCATCATCAGGATGTAAAATTTCCACACATTTCTTTGTCCCTCAACCTCAGGGCATTTCTCATGTGAAAGAGAAGCTGCATTTCATGGAGATAGAGAAAAAGGCCAAACACACTGAACTTGCTAAGGCAGAGAAATTGGTGGCTCTTAAACGTGAAGCACTGATACATACCCGACTGGTTCGTGATGACCTACGGGCAGACAATCTAAAGCTGCAGCAGCGCTGTGGCCTGCTGGGAAACACCAGACTACTGCGGGACTATGAGGAGAAGGTTGACACCTCTGAATGCCTGCAGCAGAGACTGGAGATGTTAAAAAGACGTCACGCTGAGCTCATGCTGAAGTGTGCCGGAGTGAAGCAGAAGATTGAGCAAAGCAAACCAGAGTCCCAGTGACTTGACATGTGCACTTTGTGCCCCTTAATTGTAAATGTAATGTGTAACTTGACAAAGAAACATAAACAAGAGGGAAAATGTCTAGTGAGAAATACTGAGAAATAATACTTGTCATCAAATTTAGCCTATCATCTTAGCATTGTTGTTTTTTTGTTGTGATTTGCACAGTGCCAGCAGATGGCGATATTTCTTATGACTTACCTTGCCAGCTAATTGTCCTGTGTTCTAAAAAAATCTGATATCACTACCTGATATTTTGGCATCTGTTGATATTTAAGCCTATTTAAAATAAACAAGTGCTTATAAAGGTTTGTGGTTAACAAACAATGTTAACCACACTGTTTTCTGATCTAGTTTACTGTATCAATAATTCACAAAGGCAGCATTATTTGACAAAACTACTAAGACAGTAAGAACATGTACATGGTCAGAGAAGATTTTACTGCTGAGCAACCTGCATCAGTGCATGCTCTAATAACTGAAAGCATCAATTTAAGGATTGCATGTCTGTATTTAAATGCTTATACAGATATGTGATATAGATGAATAAATAAACAACAACAAAAGGTAACATATAGTCTCACGGTGGCCAATTATTCATACTTGGACACAGACCTATTAAACATCCTACTACCTTAACCTTTTAGAATTCCTGCAAAATTAGCCTAAAACGCCTAAAAAGGCCTACCCAAAGTTATAAAGCAATCTCATGTTGGGGTTTTCCCAGAAGAGAGATTCCGCTATCACCATGGTAAATGAAAAGAGACTCAATTAGTTCATATTCATCTGCTCACCATTATTCTGACTGTTCCATTACTCAATAAATACCCTGTTTGGGTTTAACCTTATCTCTGTCTCCGAGTCTGGTGTTCCCTGACAGTAGACGAGACCATATACCAACATGAACCCATCAGGGTATTCACCTGTCCACAGTGACCTGCTCCTATACCTCTCATAAGCTGGCCGCCCCCTAGAAGACCATGTGGAGGAGTTCCTCAAGCTGTCCCATCTGGTGTCCTGAAGCAACGACACTCTGAAGACAGTCTTTTAGAGTGGGTCGGATAATCATCTGTTCAAACATCTACCAGTGGGAACTACCAACTGTACCCTTAAACGATGTAGAATATGTGGCTGAGTGGTTCCTCCCTCACAGGCAAATTGGATGAAGACATCGCTCCTCAGTTGCAGGCTCTACAGCCCCACTCCAGTCCTCCTGGTCCGTCGGTCTTCATCTCAAAGATTTCAAAGGGACTTCCTCCCAAGTCCCTTTCTATCCCTCTTCACACCTGAGAGTGCCAGCGAGAAGAATACTGCAGGGCATGGGCTGATGCAGTTGCCGCAGGACAGCCAATAGGCACGCAAGCAGCCTTGCCTGTTTCTGCATGCTGCCGCAACACGTTTTACAGTAATTCAAATTAACGATCATTTTGGCCTCAATATCTCATGGAAAAGAGGTTTTCCCCTAGCGTAAGATATTACGCAGTACTCGTTCCCCCTTCTAGAGAGAACCGAGGTTACGTTAGTAACCGAGTACATTTTTTCTTATCAGTTAATGTATCAGTTATCAGTTAATGTTTTCTTATCAGTTAATGTAGTTAAATTAATGTTTATTGCATTTTTTAAATGTCATGTGTGTTGCCATAATGGTGTTTAGTGTGTGTGTGTGTGTGTGTTTGTGTGAAGTCTGTGCAGCTTTTGTATATCAGTATTAACCGTCTTGTAGAAGAACTGCTTGTGATGAGCTTTGATTGATCCTGTGACTCATCACTTCTGTGATTGGTGGTTGCTCATTGCTCGTTTTGCACAACTGTTAGTCCAAAAACAATAATAAAAAAATACTAGTAAGAGGTGTAAGTTAAAGACAGATCCAAAATATCCATCTAAATACAACCTGTTAATGAGTTGTAATTTTTATGTGAGATCATTAACATGGATCTCTTATAAGTTAAAGGGATAGCTCACCTAAAAATGAAAATTCTGTTGTTGCAAACCTGTATGAGTTAGCACTAGTGTCTTATAATAGCACTAGTGTCTTACCTACATACAACGTGCCACTAGACGATAACACCTCAGACTTGTCAGCGGAACCCTAGAATTTGTGGTTGAAGGCTTATGGCCATAACCCCATACCCACCTCTAACTGCATTTCCTGTCGAAGGCCATAGCTGTGCATTGTTTTGAAAATAGATTGTGTAAAACATCACCTATAATGTGAAATGGAAAACATTTTTCTTTAGTGATGGAATCAGGTCAAAAGTTATTTGAACGTTCCAGCATGAACTACAGCAACAAGCAATAGCAGGGGAAATATAGCTGAAGCATGTTTCCCATCTGACCCTGCAAAGGTCATGTGCTTAAACTCAAAACATTCTGTATTTGCTTTATTGAATACTGTGCTGTTCTTTTAATGATTAAAAAAAACAAAGTTAGAGTTATTAGATAAAACAGGCTTGTATCTGGGTCACCTTTATTGTTGCTTTTGATAAGTCTGTCTTGTTTTAGGCCCTTTCTTGCTTTAATAATCATGTATAATTTTTACTTTGGAACTTACTATGACAGAAGGATCTCCATAGCATGAATATCACTATTATTATTATTATAGTGATATATTATGAATGATCTTGCTGTTAGAAGTAATTTATTAATACTATGTAAATTTATTTTAATGCTGACAGTCACAGTAACTTAACTTCATATAGGGATTTAAAGGGATAGCTAACCCAAAAATGAAAATTCTGTCATCATTTACTCACCCTCAAATTGTTGCAAACCTGTATGAGTTTCTTTCTTCTGCTGAACACAAAGGAAGATATTTTGAAGAACGATTGGAAGCAAACAGTTGTGGGGCACCATTTTCTTCTATATATATATATATATATATATATATATATATATATATATATATATATATATATATATATATATATGAAGAGTTCAGATGCAAAAGCCTCTAAGTGCCATTTGAAATTCTCTTCTAGAATAATCATTTTTATCAAGCTTGTATATTTAAATTCAGTAATTTCACTTAAATGGCAATGATGAATTGCCATTTAAGTGAAATTACTGAACTTAAATATACAAGCTTGATAAAAATTAACATTCTTGAAGAAAATTTCAAATGGCATTTAGAGGCTTTTGCATCTGAACTCTTCATATATATATATATATATATATATATATATACGGTGTATATATATATATATATATATTACTACTATGGAAGTCAATGGTGCCAAACAACTGTTTAATTCCAATCGTTGTTCCAAATATCTTCCTTTGTGTTCAGCAGAAAAAAAAAACTCATACAGGTTTTCAACAACAGAATTTTCATTTTTGGGTGAGCTATCCCTTTAAGGTCTACTAAGAAACTAAAAGGAGATCCATGTTAATGATCTCACATAAAAATTACAACTCATTAACAGGTTGTATTTAGATGGATATTTTGGATCTGTCTTTAACTTACACCTCTTACTAGTATTCTTTTATTATTATTTTTGGACTAACATGTGCGCAAAATGAGCAATGCATTTATTTTGCAATTTATTTTGGATCACCAGTCCAAAGCTTTTCTCCTGGTTCAATTTAAACTGCATTATTTTTGAATACTTTAGTCACACTACACTTAGTGTCTCTGCTGACTGTGATGTGTATCCGCTTTACTGAATACTGTCTTCTCTACACTAAAGGATCTTTTTGAATTAATTGTTCTTGAGTGCAAAACTGTAAAAATGTAATATATAAGGGCCTGGTTTCACAGGATTTCACAGGCTTCAGTTCAATGAGGACGTTCAAGTTGCTTTTACAAACGGGGCTTAGATTAAGCTAGCATATTTTCTTTCTTTTTTTTTTTTGCATGTGTTTTCTTCAGTTGCGGCTCGTTTAGCTTTCTCGTCCACTGTACAATTAGGACACTTAAGTAGTTTTTACAAGCGTGCCTTGAAAAAATATTACTGATGTGCATCTTGAGACAAAACAATGGCACATAATTTAAGATATGTCAAATTGCTTTCTGTTAACATGCATTTTAGTCTGGGACTGGGACTAGGCTTAAGCCTTGTCTGTGAAACCAGGCAAAGGTTTTTTTTAATGAACACAGATAAGAGATCAATAATTACGGACACTTAAAATGAAACATTTAAATTGATGTACAACTGGGAAATTCATTCAAAGATTCGTCATAAGGGTTTTGTCTTCTGTTTTACTTTATTAGAATTAAGAGCGTCATATAAAACAGCTTAATTGTTAATGCAAATTTCTTTAATTAAATGTTAAAATTTTGAACAATCATAAATCAAATGACAAAAGTTGTCTTTTTACATATATTGCTCTCCAGTAAAAGTAACATAACAGTAGCAAGGTAGAACATTTTTTTCATGATGCCACATGATAATAATGAAAGAAATGACAGAACATAGAAAGCAGGTTACAGAGTTAATTCTTGGGTTAAGAGTACGCAGAACATTGCCACAACTGCAACACTAAAAGTTACGATCGTCGATTTTTTTAAGGGCATTCTTCACCCAGCTCAGCCCAGTGTTCACACAGATACGAAAACCCTTCTGTGTGACAAGACTGTAAGAAAGAAATGTTTACAGTTTAAAAACACACAATACAATTAATTTCTAATACGCAATATTTATGATGACAAATTACATATTATGAAAGTTTAATACAATAATTTGCCTCTATTGATTACAGAAAGAGGAATTTAAATAAACTCACATGACTCCAGGCTTAGTGCATTCCGGTCTCGTCACTATGTAGGAATTAACTTTAGTGATGGGGATTTTTCTTGGATAATAATCAAAACAGCATTCGCCTGGCATATTGGCATCTGTGTTGTAAAAAGTAATTTATTTATGTGATAAAGTGATTTCTCATAAACATTAATCATCTAAAAGTTAATATACACATTGTAAACAAATAATTGTATCATTAATTAACTTTTAGAAATGAGTTTCACACTGACAAATAAATGTTTATTGATGTATATTAATTCACACCATTGAACAGATAATGAAGGATTTGTTTGACTTACTGTTTGCCAGTACACCAGACTGGAGGAATGCAACCGCCAGAAGTCCAATAAAAAGACAAAGACAATAATGACCCATGGCTGCAGATTTTGCTTCTCAAGGTAAAACTGATAACAAGGATAATGGCCAACAAACTTAACCATGGACTTTAAAGGTAGAAGGGGAGGGGGCGAGTGTGGTTTTGGTAAGGGGTCAGGTTATAGGTGAGAAAATGTTCCACTGCGAATCATAACTGAAAAAAAAATTCTGCTCACAGTTCTTACAGGAAACAGTTATGCGGTTATTTCATGTAGCAAAACTGCAACTCACATATGACTCACCATCTGAATCTTAAGTCTATAGTGCCATTATTCTCAATGTTAACATTAATAAGGTGATGAGACAATGGACCATGAATATATTCAAGTTTATTTCTATATTGACACAACAAAAGCAAAGGCAGCATTATATGACAAAAGGACAAACATAAGAACAAGGACATAGTTAAATCGTGTTGAGCATCAATGCATGCTCAAATAACGTCTGAAAGCTTCAAGTGTGGGGTTGCATGCACACAGTCTGCATTTGAATGCTCATAGTGCTTAAATGGATGAATAATAAAAAAAGAGCTAGTTTTGACAGGCAAACTATTCATACATAGGCATAGACACAATACACTGAACATTCTGCTGCCTTCATCTTATCACCCGATTCGGTTAATTCCCGCATAAACAAAACACAAACATAGCAAATACAATGCACAATACATTATTGCACTTCATTATCAACATCCCCCGTGTTCGTGGATGCCCTACACCCTTCTAAACACGAATTGTTTATGATGTACGCACTCAAGTACTCACAACATAACATGGTTATAGACACACACGTCAGCTCTGTCATTACAATTAAGATTGTAATGATGACTTTTTTTTTTAAATTTCAAAGTCATAAGAAGCTGATTGCACTATCAGACACATATGAAGTCTTTTGAAATCTTTTTTGAGTTATGTATATATTTTCATAAGTTACTTCAATGATTTGGACAAGAGATAAAAAGCCACTAACAAAGCCATCAACTCCTGGCGCTTGATCTGAGATGTACAAGTTGTTATTAATAATAGATTTTTTTTTTAATTGTTATAGATAAATTGTTAATATAATAAGTTTAGGGCAATTAATAATTAACATGTTACCATGCCAACATTAACATGATATTATTTCCTGGGGTTCTTATTTGGTAATGAACAAGAAACAAAACATGAAATTGCAAAGAGCATAGTATAACAGACCTATGAAATCTATGAAAAAGAAAAAGGAAATGTGCAAAGCAGCTTATTGCAGTAGTTTGGTTTAAACCACAAAAAGTGGGAGGATTTCCTTCGATCACAGTAATCAAAAAGCAGCAAAACCTCACCACCTTATCTTGATAACATCTAAACATAAACTTACGACAGTGAGCAAGATAACACGTGCCATTCAATATTCTTTGCAGTGCCTTCATAGATTGTTTACATATTACTGTGTGTACATGCATTGCACACATGATATACACACAAGGGGATTGAGATCTTTTTCTCACACACACACACACACACACACAAATATGCTAATCAATATAATAAATAAGCATCTGGATGTTTAACGTTATACTGTCAAACCAAAAAAATGTCTCCATAAAATTCTCAATGAAAAATATTCACAAAAATGACAAACTTAAAAAAGGTGAAAAATGCTGTTATTGCTGTTACATTGTGGTCCCATAAATATTTAGTGCATGTTATTTACACAAAACACATTAAGACCATGAAGTACACTATTTGTTAAAATTCAAATTCATAAAATTTTGTATTCATAATACATTTTGCCTGATTTTAATCTTGACATGATGCATTAATAATTTACTGCAGTTTCTTTGTCATTAACAAAGACAATGTCAAATATAAATGTTAAAGGGATAGCTCACCCAAAAAATAAAAATTCTGTCATCATTTACTCGCCCTCAAGTTGTTCCAAACCTGTATGAGTTTATTTATTCTGTTGAAAACAAAAGAAGATATTTTAAAGAATGTTGGTAATCAAACAGTTGATATAGTAGCCATTGACTTCTAGCATGGATGCTAGCCGAACTTAGCCCCGCGGCCGCCCACCACATTTAAGGGTGCGAAGTTCGGTCTGGACTTGATCCGTTGTGAAGCAAGTACGTCCGAACCAAAGCTGTTCGGACTAATAAAATTGTCAGGGCGGGCTTTATACGACGATGAACAGATAATCGATAAAACCACATCTCCAAACAGCGTTTGGCTGAATTCGTTTACAACAAAGAATGGAGAATTTAGATGTGTAGATGTGTGTGCCATCGCGTCTGTTATAGAAGCTGTAGACAGCGCATTTCATTTAAAAGAGGAATAGAGAACCGCGATCAAGGCATTATTTGTCGATCCAATTGAGCGCCCCATAATCACAGCCCAATGGAGCAGTATCAGACTCACATTCTGACAAGAATCTGAGTATGACGACATCAGGCTAATTGACTTCCATAGTAGAAAAAAAAATACTAATGGAAGTCTATGGCTACCGTCAACTTTCTGGTTACCGACAATTTTTCAAAATATCTTATTTTGTGTTTAGCAGAAGAAAAAAATTCATACAGGTTTGGTACAACTTGAATTTTTGGGTGAACTATCCCTTTAAGATGAGCTGTACATCACAAAACCATAATCATCTCTGAAAAGGTTCTTCTATCTTTCATCTACTTTCTTCTCAACACTTCAACCACTATGAGATCCAACTTGCACCGCATGTTAAAGCCACATTCATCACACTAAATTCTTGTTGTGTAGGCATGAATGGAAGCCAAACCTCAGAAGAAATATATCAGAGTATATCAGAAACAGCATGTTTGGTTTTAGACTGGCACAATATTTTCGAGAAAAAGAATAAAAGGGAGAAAGAATCCAGTAGCAATACCACAACACACTGATATATATCAGTACCCACTCAAATCTCTGAATAAAGACATTTGTGAGGACAGAAACATAGAATACAGACACAAGCAGTAAGAGGTAGAATAAATGATAGTTTTTGATAAGAAACTTAGATTTAAAAAGTAAGCAAAAAGTCTTAAAAATAGTGGTGGGATTCACTGACATTGCATTATAGCAAACAAAATAACCTCATGATTTGTGTAGTTACAGTTTTTTTTTTACCACATGAAACTCCCTTTGGGGAAAAGAGGTAATTTGAAGTCAGTATACTTCCACACATTAAAAACAACATGAACAAAGAAATAAAAACAATCTCAGAAAAACACAGCCAAAATATATTACTTTATTTCGCTTAAATGTAAATGCCACGTTTAAACTAAGGGAGAGAAAATGATAAAGCCAAAGACAAGGGTGAAGGAGTAAATAGTGGACAGAGACATGGAATAGTTAAGAACTTCACAAACTCACATTGCCACACCAAACTGAGAGATGGAGTGTACATTCATGTGATGTGCGGCCTCCGTTCCAGCCCCGTGAGATCAGTTTGTATTCCAAGCATCAGTTTGTAAGGAAGAGGACACAGAGAGGCCACTGGAACTGATATTCTCTGGTGAGGTACCAGAGGTATGCAGGAATACCCATGCACAGTCAACATGAGTTTCTCTCTTAGTTTCTGTAAGGTGGAAGGGAACACACGAGGATGCATCCTTAGCGTTTCAGTTGTGGACTGCCCCGGTCTTGTCCTTTCTGCAAAGCCTGAAGAACCTGGAGGAACAGACGAGGGAAAAGACGACTAGTTGAGTCCCATCAGATTAAACATTTTTAAATAAAACTAAAAAACATTTCATAAAGTATTCAGACTCTTTAATTTAGCCCATTCGTTTCTTTTTATATACATTTCAAAATGTTAAATAAACTTTTTAAAAGGCTGCAACATAAAATGTGAAAAAAGGAAGGGCCTGAATTCTTCCTGAATTCACTGTATAATCTGTTCAAAAGTCTAGTGTCATTAAGATTTTTTTTTTAAATATATACTTTTATTCAGCAAGGACAAATTAAAGCTGCAGTCTGCAGTTTTTCCTCTTTGTCACCATCTCTGTTTGAAATCTGCAATTGCAGTCATTCGCGGAATTATCAACTTTACGTGAGTTGTAATTCGACAAAGCACAGCTTGGATGAACACAATGCCATCTGAAAAATGTCATCTGAACAAGTAAGAAACATCAACTTTTGTTCTAGTTTTGACACTGCAGTAAATTGCGCTGATTAAATTAAAAAAATCACTTATAAGTTATCATATCACGCAAAACCATGCAAATGAAACGTTGTTCTCAATTGTTAATGTTAAAAACGTTAGCATTGCGTGACTACATGTAATGTCCTTCCGATATATATCCTTGTTTTCACATGTGTTGCAGTCTCTTTTTTTCTGTAGCCACTCCGAAGTCCGAACGAAGTCTTCTGCATTTTATAGCGGGTGAATCTGTTGTCACTGGTGATTGTCATTCGAACCCTTCTGGATCCGCCATCAAATTAATAAGTTTTATTATATCAAGTGCTGTGAGAAAAGACTATAAATCTCCACCTCCAACATCCTCACGCGCAATATAGTGTATACTTGACGAGACTCTTCTTTATGTGTACAGATGTGACATAATGATGCAAAGACATGCTCGAATCTCCCGCGGAAATCCACCAGTAACACTGGAATTAAACTGGCTAGTTATGTATTTCTCAAATTTATTTGGGATAATTTTTAACCCAAGAAAGCTACGGACTGCAGCTTTAAATTGATCAAAAGTAAAAGTAAAAGCCATACGCAGTGTAAAAACAAATATTCCAATTTCAAATAAATAATGTTACTTTGAACTTTCTATTCATCAAAATATCCTGAAAGATAAAAATGTTAAGCAGCACAACATACATTTAACAAGTCAGAAATCAGAAATGTTTCTTAAGCAGCAAATCAGCATAATTATGATGATTTCTGAAGGATCATGAGACACTGAAGACTGGAGTAATGATGCTGAAAATTCAGCTTTACCATCACAAGAATAAATTACATTATAAAATATATTTTAATAGAAAACAGTTACTTAAAATTGTAATATTTTCACAATATTATTATTTTGATCAGTTAAATGCAGCATTGGGAAGCATAAGAGACTTTTTTCAAAAGCAATAAAAAAAACTGACAGGCCCCGAGTGT